CTTAATAAAATTTTGTAAAATTTTAAAAAGAAAAAATAAATACAATGAGTTTTATATATAATTTACAATTTGTACCCCCTACCCTTAACTCTTTCAATTGAAAAAAGTTAACAATGTAATGGCTTGATTACATTCGTTTCTTAAAAATTATTACTATGCTAACTTATTTGATTAAAAAGAGGGCTAGGGATATTTTTTAGTAGGGAAGGTCTATAGCTCTAATAATCTTTTTATGTACCGCAAATAATGTCTCAGAGCGCTATTTTGAGACACGCGTTTTAATGAGGAATAGGAATTAATTTAACTAATGCGAACAATAGTTTTATTTTTTAAAAAATCTTCAACTATTATCTTTAAATAACGTGCCTCGAAATAATACCCCAGTGAGTTATTTCACGCAATTCAGTATATTTTAATTTTTTATTACTGAACATGTATTAAATACGGAGTTATGTCAATTCCTGGATCATGAGATCCGAAAATTTGGATTATAGGAATGTTATGTATACGTGCGCACGTACATACGTACGTACGTAGAAGTGTAATTTTATCTATAAATAGGAAATACTAGCCAATCGGGAAATCATAAATGTCACGTCGAGTTTAACAAATTTTATATTAAAAGCACAGATAAAATGATTGCCCCTAAGTTGTTTGTCGTTATACGTAAGTTGAAGAAGACAAAAATACTCTGAAGCCTGGATAACACAAATACTACAATATAACACTACGCTTTATACTAACTAAATTATTCAAATTTAACCCAAATAATGGTAATGCTTCGGTCGTGGAAAGACTTGTTCTGAGTAACTAGGGTAAATTCTGCAATAAGAATTCTAGACTATGTCACGGGTCTCTTAATACAGAATCACTTAGTAAGGCCAAACACTTCTACTAATGGCTTTAGAAGGTTTAAAACTCTAAAAGTTATATTTTATTTCGGTACGAAAGACATCATTTTTATACTTTTTACGTTACTACGGTACAAGTTGAACCTATTCGCTAAGGCTACTAAGGATGTTAAGGACGATAAGTTTACTAAGGACGATAAGTGCATAAGTGATATAAGAGCGATAAGTGCCATAAGTGCCATAAGTGATATAAGTTCGATAAGTTGCACTTAATGTATCATACTAACTTTGGCTAAATTCGACTTGAGCCACCTCAGCATCGATTTACCCTTTTGCTGAGGTAGATTAGTCATTTCACAAAAAAATTGGCAGTGGCATGATATACAAGCCATTCAGGCTGTGATTCTGTATTCGGGCTATTAATTTTTATACTTATTATTCGGGATCCAAAAAAAAAAATTTTTATAAAAAATTCATAACTTTCTTATCCCGAATAATAAGTATAAAATTAATAGCCCGAATATAAGAATATAGTCTGAATGGTTTAGATCGCGTCACTGCCAATTTTTTTATGACATGACTAATCAACTAAATGAGCCAAATCCAATATCACCAAATATAGAAAATCCATTACAAGCAACGATCTACCCCTTTCACAACGTACGTGATGATCGTCCAATCAAATCATAACACATATTAAGTAAAAATGTTTGCAGAATAAACTTTTATTTGGCTAACTGACGATTTCACAAGAAACTGGTGATATTGATTACATGATTATCACATGAAATATCGGAAGATACCCGAATGTATAATTCAATTTAATTTTTTTGTACCGCACTTAATATATGATATAAATATACAACCATGACACTGTCAGTTTTTTTACCATAATATATTTTCTTTCTCAAAAAATTTGTAATCCAAGATAATAAATATGTGCATCGTAAGTATTATGCCAAAATGGATTTTTTAAACAGTCAATTAAATTGCCTTCTAATTTTTTGTATCGATTTATAGAAAGTTACTTGTCAAACATGCGGAAAATATACATGGGCCGGATGTGGAAGGCATGCTGATGCTGGTATTTAATTTTTTTACATAATTTTTATGTTATGCATCATCTAATAGATTTCTTTTTATTTAAAGTTATGAGTCAAATACCTAAAGAAGACCATTGCATCTGTAAACGGAATACACAGGCCGACAGTAGTTCAGGTTCCGATATTAAGGTTGTTGCTCTAATCATTGGATTACTTATTGCAACTTATTGGTGGTTGTCTTAGTAGCATTATCGAGAACTTATTTGAAGTTTTTGTAATAAGTTTTCTTTTTCTTTTTTCTACCATCAGGGCACTACCGAACAACAAAAACAACAATAGCATAATTATTTGCATGCAGATACTGTCTGAAAAGCATACGTATATGGTTGTTTTTATTATAATTGTAGCCTATTATCATAGTCTTAGTGATTACAGTTCTAATTTAATAAATAACTTGTTTTCACTCGATAAAATATGTGTTTACTAGTTTATGTATATATATTTTTTGTGAAAAACCCAAAAATATAATCAAAGAATACTAAGTCTATGAGTATACAACAAGTATCCCATAATAATTTGCTATCCTGAAAAGTTCAGACAATTAACAATTCAGTTGGTTTAGTTGTCAAATAAGTGGAAGGGTAAGAAAACATTATAAATGGTACTGTCTTTCCAGTATCAAAATAACAATTTTGGCTCGTGGGACGCATTAGTTCGTTATAGTATACTGATTTCCTTATTTATGCTATATATTGGATATGAATATAATGCCCAAAAACTTACGAGACTAAGTACAAAGATTTCAATTATTCTAATTTTTGTACAGAAATCAACCTTTTGGACGTTTGTGTGAAAAGAAAAGGACACAACTATTATGAATCTTAACATTCGTTTGTGCTTAAAATCATCGAAAACAAATCATCTATTCATGAAATATCATCATTATGAATATTGATGCCTGATGAGTGGCGAATATAATTTTTTTTATTACAATTTTGTTTAGAATAGTTTTTATGAATTTAGTCCAAAAAACTTGATACTTATTTAATAGATATATAAGAACTACTCATTTCTAATTCAGAAAAGAATTATTTCGGAACATTGCAGGACGGTAGACAATCACCAAATACAGAAAGAGAGCATTTTTGTTGGGATTGTCGAGAAGTATGATAATTTACGTACTGTGTAGTAAATTAACATGTTAACATGGTTAAAAATCCATTGATTAGTCAGCGCGACTACGTAAACCTATTAATGCATTGTATGTACTGTATTAAAATGATTGGCACAATAATTGTATATTAAAAATCACGTTGATAAATTGACTTATTACGCAGTAGCATTAACCCCTTTTTTCAAACCTTAAAGTATTTTTTTCAATTATTGCTTAATTTAAAATTTCGTGTTTATGTTGTAAGTGGGAATAGAATTTAAGTGGATTTGGAATTTCCTAATTAAATTAGGGTTAGGGTTAGGGTGTACATATGATAAACACAACCCCCAAAACGGGGTTTTTTATATAAATTCCGAATCCACTTAAATTCCGTTTCCACTTACAACATTTATATTCAACAAGGCCTTATCTTTCAAGATCCAAAAATAGCATTTCAGGATCCAAAAATAGGCGAAATTTCTGCAATAGTGATAGTGTTGCTGAAGGATAGATTGCGTAAAATATACAGCATATGGCATAAAAAAGTTTCAAATATTTGGACTGGAACTTTTGTCTAAAACTTTGCAACGTCTAACTGCACAAAATTTAAAGGTAGAACTTAGCTTATATCAAAAATTGCATTAGAAAATTTTAATAAATCATAATATTGAAAATTATTATCAAAGTGATATAAGTGTTTTCGAAGATAAGAGAAAGACATTTGAGTGGTGTTTGAATTTAACCATCGATTGGATTGGAAATGGTTATTTTAGCGTTTTAAAGATAATAAGAAAGAATTTGAATAGTTTTTGAGGCAAAAATAATTGTTCCTGACGGGATAAAAAAAAACCAACGATTGCATATCATTCTTGGTAAGGGATTCTTGTAGTATAGTTTTTAAAACTCTATCAGAAACGGTATATTAATCAATTATAAAATTTTAAGCGATTTCTTCATCTTGTAGAATATTGATTATGATCAATTTAAAAATATTAATTATGATCAATTTAAAAATATTAATTCAGTAAAAATTTAAAATAAATAGTTTGCCAATAGCAAATGTTACTAATATATTTCAAACTTGACCTTTATTATAAACATCACATGAAATGAATTATCTGTTATGTATAACATGCGCGCATAAACAGTATTTTAAATTTGATTTGCTTTATTTGTCACAATAATCATATCGTATACAAAATAAAATTTGATTATAGATCGTAAAAATCGTAACTATAATACCCGAATAAGTAAAATGCTTAAATGCTATTTCAAGAAAGCCTCAGAAGTTAAAGACTCCAGCTACACGAAAGTTTATTAATTAGATGTGTACATGAGTCTATTACAGCTGTTATCATAATTTCTGAAACACCTGATAAAAATTGCCGAAGTTATTTTTTGCATAATAGATTCAAAAAAATTACAAATTGTACGTATGCACTTACGTACATAACTTTTACATTCGTATTTCTGTATTTACATAATTTATGTAATTTTTGCATAAGATTCGGTAAATGGGATTTTTATATAATTGTAATTTTTGATCACATGATGTATGTCAAATTTTCGGCGATTTTCGGAGTTAAAATTCGGATCATACATTCAAATCAAAGAGTACAATAATGCAGGTTAAAATTTTGTAAAGCCAGTACTTTGTATAAAACATGATAAAATTACATGAAATTTGATTTACTGAAATTTACATAAAAATACATGTATTGTAGGATTGTAACTTTCGTAACACAGCCCTAGCAATGGCTTGACCTGCATTACAAAAATTTTGCCAACATTACTAGAATTTGTGTGCCAGCTCTATAAAAGTTCTGACCAACGTTATTTACATAACAAAAATTACATGTCAGAAACTACGTAAAATTACGCAAATTTCCACCCTATATATCCTATATATGCGTACGTATATCTCTGGTTGAGTGTAAAAATTTTTAAAAAAAACAAGCGTATGACATACTGTATATATGTATAATAATATATTAGTGGATTATACTATCTACAGATAGTTAAGATTAGGGTTAGGACTATACATCGTGTTAGCATTTATGATTTGGGTGAGGGTATAGGTCTGTATGAATAATTCAAATATTAGTCTAAATAAGCAAATTTTGAGGTATCAATAAGTCGAGTTTAACCCTGTGAAAATTGTGATATTACGTATTAAACCATTGTATACAATCAGTGTTCTGGTTGTTTCTATATCATGTGCACTTGAGTTTATAGTATCATCTTGATTATTATTATTGTGTTTTATATTTATTGTAATTTTATGTGTATAGTATTGAGA